ATGGGGGTCTATGGATTTAAAAAAATACAGCTTGAACGTTTATTGTTATTGCCGAAATGTGGGTCGAAATGCCATTTAGCCAGAATTTCACCTTCTGTAGACAAGCTGTACGGAGGCGCAACGAAAGCACAATAATTTATTAATTTATTTGAAACTTACCAGCAGCTGAGAGTCTAAGCTAGAAGAAAAAAATACTGTGCTTCTTATAAACTTGTTTTGCTCACTCAAAAAGATTTTTTGTTGAACAACAACAACTCTATTCATATCACTTTTTTCTACTTGGCTATAAGTTTGGTGCTAATATTAAATGGCATCTTTACTTTACCTACTTTCTGCTCAACTTTTGGCCTCCTTGACAAATCCACCCAATTACAACCTCTCTGTGCGTATCCTCAACCTGTGGTTCCTCGCGCCATGTACCTTGAACGATATCCCAGTGCGAACTGCGCCAACTGTGGGCTGTCAGCAACATTGAGCCATGTGTTATGAGAATGTGGAGCCATCGGTTCCACCTTCAGGGAGGACAGGTGGACAACGCTCTTGCGCAATCCCAAACTCAACTACCAAACATGGCCGTCCGAAATGCCCACGACCGGGCTGCCAAGCTCGACTTGGTGGTCCCTGCGTGGAAATATAGCCGGGTGGCGTAGGGTCTCCCCCGAGTGATCTCTGGACCAAAATGAAGAAAATGTAGATTGTTTGAAGCACATGTTTAATGTGCAGCACTATGCAGGCTTTTTGAGGACAAGGGCAGATGAAGGTACCTGATCTTGCAATTCAAGAACAGTTTAATTGTCATCGTGCCTCCAAAAATCCTCGGACCATTGGCAGGCCATTATGAGAACTATGGCATGTTATGCCATTTTTGCAGTCGTTGCGAACCTTGTCTTTGTTCGGACATAGTCAACCAAAAGGGGGGGGGGGGCATAAACAGGTCTCGGCAGTGAAACTTGTACCCCTGTAATGGGAACCCCACTCATGCCTATGAGTAAATTTTTTATGCGCTGCCACATATTACGCGTTGAGCATTGTTCAATGTTTTATTACTCGTACTTTATATTTTTAGATCAGGAACTCATTACTATAAACACGGCTATAGTTCAAGGACGCACTCGGCATCATTATCGGCTGCACTGAATAGAACTTTGCGATCCAGCCAGCGTGACCTTGCCTCCATAAAGGCTTTTTTTTCTGACACTTGAAGCACTACTTGAAGGCCGTGGAAACAAAGAAAAAAGCTGCTTTACAGTGTGCTAGAACAAGGGAAGTGCTCGGAACGATCTTCGAAGAGTGAATCCCAAAGAGCGTCAGGTCACTTGCGGCGTTGTGATCAATGTAGTCTGCAATGTGTCATTGTTTAAGAGTGGCGCATGGCTCTACCAAAGTGCAGTCGTATATATAATGCCCGCTTCTCACTAAAAAAGCATGGGTTCGAATCACAGCTGTATATGGTAAAATGTTTATTTTTAGTGTCACTTGCTACAGCTTCATCAGTTTGCCTTTCAAAATGATTCTAGCTCCAGTTGATTTTACTGCTACAAAAAGCAACATGAAATCAGAAGGGGAAAAGAAGAACTTCCACACTGAACTTAATTGTTTGTAGTGCCATGTCATGGCGTTATACAAAGAAATTGCCCGCAGCTTCCCTCGGGGGAACACTGAGGAGGATGCGGAGCATATAATTGGTTAACGGGGTGTTAAAGTCCGGGTCCTCTTCTCGACGCTTACGTTTCAAAGCGGCCGAATCCGGTGCTGCTGCTTGACGCTGACGTCTCTCAGCGGCTTCACGTTCTCTAAGTTGAGCATTTTCCGCTCGACGCCGACGTTTACGTTCGGCGTCGCGAGCTCTTCTCCGCGCTGCCTTGTCTTCGGACGACGACTTGGTTGAGGTTCCGCCAACACTTTGGCCGGCGCTGGTCGAAGGGACGTCGATCATTTCGACCTCGGACGTCGACGCGCCGTACAAACCAACCGACGAGCGGCAACTGAGCGAGCGAGCACCGACCTTGAGTATATATACAGCGCGACGGCGCATGCACCGTCAGCTGTCGAATGTTCGAGAAGGGGGAGAAGCGCAACGGCGCATGCGCGCGCGTCAGCTGCCGATGTTCTCGAACCGCGACGGCGCATGCGCGCGCGTCAGCTGCCGATGCTCTCGAAGCGCAACGGCGCATGCGCGCTACATTATACAGCTAGCGAATGTTCGTGAAGAGGAGAAGCGCACGCGGTGTGTAGAGGAGGAAGGGTGCACAGATGGTGGAGGAGTGAAGCGCGCGCGGTGTGTAGAGGAGGAAGGAATGCACAGATGGTGGAAGAAGGAGGAGGAAGCTTGCGGACGGCGCCGCACTACAAGCCTCGAGTATTAGATGCTCCGCATCTAAAACGTATGATATGGCCTCGTCTATTTTCACGAATTCGAAGCTCGAAACGAGAATTTGCAATTTCAGTCACTTTTTGTAGCAGTATGTAGCATCTGAAGCTCGTTTTAAGCAACAGAAGAAAACCAAGTGACACTAAGAATGAAGCTCTCTGACAGTACGATTCGAACAAATGTCTTCTAGGTTGCTTTGTTCAAATCCGGGCTCTTTGAGTGGGAAGCAACCAGTTTACAGTTGCACCACTTTGGCATAGCCGTGCGAAACTCTAAAATGACCACACAATGCGGACTACCAATCGCAGTGCAAAAAGCGGCTTGACCCTGCTTGGGACTCCCATTCTATGCTTTGGTGCCGAACCGTTTTGAGCACTCTCCTGTTCTAGTGCACTCTAACTAAATATACACGGTGAAGGTGAACACGCGCAACCAATGTACCGAAGAACGACGTTAATAAAGCGTACAGATGACGCCACGGCTTGGCTTTTAGAGGTATGGAAGATCCGGCCGCGGTATACCGCGTCCGGGTGGTCGAAACCCTAAGTGGTCGAAATCTTATGAGCCCTCCACTACGGTGTCTCCCATAATCATATGGTGGTTTTGGGACGTTAAACCCCACGTACCAATCAATGAATATTTGCTTGAGGAGACACTGGTGCTGCCGTGATTCATTCGCCATGAGAATTATTAGCAGTGCATAAATATTCATTGATTGATTGATTTACCTAACCGTCGTGCTTGCGGCATTGAACACGCTAGTGGCTTTGTGTATTGTTTTAGCTTTCGTTTCTGGTCAATCAATGGCTTCTTAAACTTGAGCCGACTTGAATTCTTCAGCATAAACATGTCAGGTGATAATATGGGGACTGCTGACAGTCTACTGACAAAGCGCCTGCAGACAACACGGAGTCTAAAAAACGAAGCTTACGCAAACCTATGTGGTACCCATCATTCCCACGTTGCTGAAACGACATGCGTATCGGCTTCCACGGGCGTTGTCTTCAGATTTCACTTTTGTGTACTATTTACGAAACAATGGTTTAACTCCCCCGGAATGCCCAAAGCACAGAGTTTCCTAAAATTAACTAGAGGGGACTCTGGCGCTGCGATAGTTCAGAGACCATGGGAATGATAGGTAGTACACACTTTTGCCTTGTCTTCGTACTTGCTGGCGGCGAATCGCACTTGAGGCTTTATTGCTGGTTTCGATTTCGTTTTGAAAGAAAGAACGAATTCTTTTCAATTTGATCACCATATTCGAAATGGTAAGACAAAGAATAATGTGGTGAAGGACAACCGCTGAACATTTGCCGATCTTTGTTTCGTAAGGAAGGAGCTCCAAGCCACACAAACACAAAACGGAGCGAAAAGCAGGCCATAAATACGAAGATTAGACAAATATGTGTACTACCCATCATTCACATGCTCGATAAAGTGCAGTGCGTTGCAGATTCCACAGACACTAGCGCCAGTGGTCCCTCTAGTGTATATTAGGAAACTGTGTGCATGCATGTAAAATGTCAAAGTGCACAAGGCGCCATAATTTCGTGAATTACCAATGTAATCTTTAAGCTAATCGGCAAATAAAGAAATAGCAGGATGCTTTTTCAACTATATGTCTGATCTGTGTTTCAGCTTCTCATGGTGTCTGTTGTACCATCAAAATTCAGACATAATCGCCATGCAAATGAAAATGAGGCACGACGGGAAGGCGAAGATGGGTACAATGTTTAATAGCTGCAGCGAAGGACTGCCTTTTCAGAGACATCCCCACAAATGAGCGCGGAAGGTGGGCTATATTAACATCAAAATTATTTCCGTGCAAAACGGGCTGCAGTAAATGTTTTGAAAAAAGCGCAATGACTGATGAATGTTACGCTTCCGTCGGAAGCACTCTCGCCAAGTGTAAAAGTGAAAACACGCTTCATACATAAGCCTTAAAAAAGACATGGTACTCAAAATATAGCGAAGAGTGATTAGGATAATGTAGTAGGGCAGACAGGCAGTGAAAAATTCACTTATAAAAGAAACTTCATGCACATTTCATTGCGAGTGTTCGAAACAAATTGAAACCAGTTTTGTATTTGTGCCCCAGTCTAAATAGCCACAGGTGGAGAATACCACAAGTTCTGTCGTAATCGAAAAAGTGGTCTTGCAAGACGAAATATTCGCATTCCAAAGTATTCAGGACATTCACGCGAACTGCACCCATGGCGATTTAAATGCGCAAGAGGTAAACTAAATGGCATGAAAAAAAACAGGACAAGCTTCAGCTTTTGCCTGCGTCCTTATCACGCTTATGTCAAAAGATTCTGGAAAGATGACACCGCTCAGAGAGTGTGCTCGCGCTTAAGTCCGATATTAGTAGCACCCCCCCTTCTTGAAGCTGTATTTAAACTTGTGCTTCGCCACACACCGCTTCCCTGATCGAATGAGGGTAACTCCATAGTAATTGCTGTCGATGTGTACTCGCTTAAGCTGTTCCAATACTTGTCAGTGTCGACCGCACCCACACTGGCACCCTCTTGGTTGTCATTGTATGCAGGGTTATAATGCACCACAATGTCCCCGGTGTCATTGCTGTTTGCAAACGATCCGGATGTGCTCGAACTTGCTGAAGCCTCGACGTTTTCCACGAAATCCGGCAGCGGCCGGCCTTTGGTTTCTGGCCAGGGGAACACCACCAGTGTCGCGAGCAACATGACAATCGCGTAGAAGACGGCATCCCAGGTTCCATGGTTGAACTGCAAACGCAAGATCAGTGGTCAAGAGAACGTCAGGGAAAGCCGCTTTTGCCTGGTCATATGTACAATTGATGGATATGTGGGGTTTAACGTCCCAAAACCATCATATGATTATGAGAGACGCCGTAGTGAAGAGCTCCGGATATTTTTCACTTGTATAAGACAATAGATGCAGCGATGGCGTAGTGGTTAGAGTATCAGCCTCGCGTGCAAGAGATCCGTGGCTCGAATCCTGGTGTTGCGAAGTTATGAACCTGATTTAAAAAGATTTTCCGCGTGAAAATACATTGCATTAGGAGGCGTGGGGTGCAGCCTCACCGGTGACACCAGAGAAGGATTGGCTACCCTGGTGCAGTATCTGGCCACTACATCCCACATGCATACGTCAATTAAAACACAGCCTTCAGTCCCCAACGGCTGCGAAGCAGCTGACCATGGCAGTGGTTCGATCTGCAACGCAGCAGAGGCCGCTAAGAATCTTTGGGTTTGGACAGACTACCATTGGAAGCTGATCTTGACTACGTTTAGCGCTAGGCAACCTTATCTAGTGAGGCAAGTCTAGCTGTACCATTCGAGGAGCTAGAAGATGTTAAATGGGATGTAATAGGGCTCAGTGATGTTAAGAGGACAGATGAGGCCTATACAGTGTTACAGAATGGGCATGTCCTTTGCTATCGTGGCCCGGCTGACAAAAGATAACTCGGCGTAGTGTTCCTTGTTCAAAGAAATATAGCTTGGAACATAGAGGAATACTATAGCAATAATGAAAGTGTGGTAGGTATCGTAATTAAACTCAATAAGAGATACAAGATGACGGTGGTACAGGCTAGTTCAAAGACGCTAGTTCAAAGCTTCTATGAGGACGTTAAATGAGGACGTGAAGATACACGCTAGTTAAACCTTCTACGAGGACGTGAAATCGGCATTGAGTAAGGTGAAAACCCAGTACACTATACCCATGAGCGACTTTAATGTCAAGGTAGGGAAGAAGCAGGCTGTAGACCAGACAGTAGGATATTATGACAGCATTAGAAATGCCAGAGGGGAGTTGTAAGTAGAATTCGCAGAACGAAATAATTTACGGATCTTGAGTACCTTTTACCTAACGAGAGAATCGTAAGTCGACATGGAGGAGCCCTAATCATCATCATCATCATCATCAGCCTCACTACGTCCATTGCAGGACAAAGGCCTCTCCCATGTTCCGCCAGTTAACCCGGTCCTGTGCTTGCTGCTGCCAATTTTATACCCGCGAACTTCTTAATCTCATCTGCCCACCTAATCTTCTGTCTCCCCCCTAACCCGCTTCCCTTCTCTGGGAATCCAGTCAGTTACCCTTAATGACCAGCGGTTATCCTGTCTACGCACTACATGCCCTGCCCATGTCCATTTCTTCTTGATTTCAGCTATGATATCCTTAACCCCCGTTTGTTCCCTAATCCATTCTGCTCTCTTCTTGTCTCTTAAAGTTACACCTACCATTTTTCTTTCCATTGCTCGCTGCGTCGTGCTCAATTTAAGCTGAACCCTGTTTGTAAGTCTCCAGGTTTCTGCTCCGTAGCTAAGTACCGGCAAGATACAGCTGTTATATACCTTCCTCTTGAGGGATAGTGGCAATCTACCTGTCATAATTTGAGAGTGCTTGCTGAATGTGCTCCACCCCATTCTTATTCTTCTAGTTACTTCAATCTCGTGGTTCGGCTCTGCGGTTATTACCTGCCCTAAGTAGTCATAGTCTTTTACAACTTCAAGTGCACTATTGCCTATCTCGAAGCGCTGCTCCTTGCCGAGGTTGAGTAAAGAAAACATTAGAATTCAATCAACCAAAGGAACAAGCAGGATTCCGAACAGGCTACTCAACAAATGACCACATTCATACTATCAATCAGGTAATAGAGAAATGCTCAGAGTATAACCAACCACTATACATAGCCTTCATAGATTACAAGAAGGCGTTTGATTCAGTAGAAATATCAGCCGTCATGCAAACACTGCGGAATCAGGGCGTAAATGAAGTATATATAAACCTTCTGGAAGAAATCTACAGGGGATCAACTGCTACCATAGTGCTTCATAAAGAAAGCAACAGAATACCAATCAAGAAGGGTGTAAGGCAGGGGGACACAATTTCCCCAATGCTATTTACCGCGTGCTAACAGGAGGTTTTCAGAAGCCTAGAATGGGAGGAGCCCTAATGGCGAAAGCAAAAACAAAATGGACTTTGTAAGTAGTGCGCACCCAGGCGTCGTGCAGGATGTGGAAATGCTTGGCAAGGTATGATGAGCGACCATAGAATGGTAAGATCTCGAATTCGCCTAGGCTTTAAGAAGAAACAATAGAAACTGATACGCAAGAAGCCAATCAATAAGCTAGCACTGAGAGTGAAAGTACAGTAATTCAGTCTCGCTTCAGAACAGATACTCGGCTCTTGTCGAGGAAGCCAGCCTTAGCGTTGACACAATGAATGATAATCTTACGAGTATCATTATGGATTGTGCAGTGGAATTTGAAGGTACGGTAGTTAGACAGTACACTGAGAAGCTGGCCCAGGAGACGAAGAATATCATTAAGAAACGCCAAAGCATGAACGCCTCAAACACAACAGAAAAAAATAGAACTGCCCGAGCTTTCAATGTTGAATAATAGGCGTGAGGTATCCGATGTAAGAAGGTATAACCTGGACAGAATTGAACACACTCTAAAGGACGGAGGAAGCGTCAGAGAGGTGAAGAGGAAACTTGGTATAGGCAAAAGCCGGATGTATGCACTAAGGGACAAGAAAGGCAAAGTAACTACCAATATGGATAAGATAGTTATAATGGCGGAGGAGTTTTACAGAGATCTGTATAAAAGCCGGCACAACCACGACCTCACCATAAGAACCAGCAGTAACCCAGATGGAAACCCGCCAGTAATGACAGAAGAAGTCATAAAAGCATTGGAGGGAATGCAAAGAGGCAAAGCTGCTGGTGAGGATCGGGTAACATCAGATCTGCTCGAAAACGGAGGGCACATTGTTTTTAAAAAACTGTCCACCCTGTTTACGAAGTGTCTTCTGACGGGGAGGGTACCATTATCTTGAAAGAATGCTAACACATCTTAGTACATAAGAAAGGAGATGACAAGGACTTCAATCGCAGTCCGATCAGCTTGCTCTCCATCATACACAAGCTGTTTACAAAAGTAGCTGCTAAGAGAATTGAGGCATTATTATTCAATCAACCAAAGGAACAAGCATGATTACGAACAGGCTACTCTACAATAAACCTCGTTCATACTATCGATCAGGTAATAGAGAAATGCTCAGAACACAGCCAACCAACCACTATATATAGCTTTCATAGATTACGACAAGGCATTTTAATCTGTAGAAACATCAGTAGTCATGCAGACGCTGCGAAATCAGGGCGTCGATAAAGTATATATTAACATCCTGGAAGAAATCTACAGAGGATCAACTTCCACCATAGTCCTCCATAAAGAAAGCGACAGAATACCAATCAAGAAGGGTGTAAGACAAGGGGATACAATCTCCTCATTGTTATTCGCCGCATGCTTACAGGAGGTTTTCGGAGGCCTAGATTAGGAGAGTTAGAGATAAAAGATAATGGAGAGTACCTTAGTTACCTGCGCTTCGCCGATGACATTGAATTGCTGAGTAACTCAGGGGACGAATTGCACCTAATGATTGCTGAATTACAAGGAGAGCAGAAAGGTAGGTTTTAAAATTAATCTGCAGAAAACGAAAGTAATGTACTACAACCTTGAAGGAGAAGAGTGCTCCAAGAAAGGTAATATTGCACTTGAAGTTGTAAAAGACTGCGTCTACTTAGGACAGGTAGTAACCACGGAGCCAAACCATGAGATTGAACTAACTAGAAGAATAAGAATGGGGTGAAGCACATTCGGCAAGCACTCTCATATCATGATTGGTAGATTGAAACTATGCCATAAGAGTAAGATATATAACAACAGCATCTTGCCGGTACTTACGTATACGGAGCAGAAAGCTGGAGGCTTACAAAGTGGATCCAGCTTAAATTTAGGATGAAAAAAGTGAGCGATGGGATGGAAAATAATAGGTTTAACCTTAATAGAAAAGAAGAGAGCAGAGTGGATCGGAACAAATCGGGGTTATGAATATCATAGTTGAAATCAAGAAGAAGAACTGGGCATAGGCCGGGCATATAGCGCGTAGGCAGGATAACCGCTTCTCATCAAGGATAACTGACTGCATTCCCAGAGAAGGCAAGTGGGTTAGGGGGAGACAAAGGTGGGCAGATGAGATTAGGAAGTTTGCGGGTATAGAGAAGGAGCAGCAAGTACAGCACCGAGTTGTCTGGCGGGGCATGGGAGAGGCCTTTGTCCTACAGTAGACGTAGTCAGTATTATGATGATGATGACGACGACAATGATATGACAATAATTAAGCGAAGGGCGGTGGCTGCTGTCGCTATGTCTACATAAAGCATCAGGAAAGAATAACAGGTGTTGAATATTCATCACGTTAGACAGATGATGAATATTCACTTATTTTCTTCCTTAATATGCAAACGTTCAAGTACAACGTTTTCACAGTTCGCAACTCTGCTGCACCACGTGTACCAGTCGGTGTTACCGCCTTTTCGAGATTTTTTTTTAGCAGCGACATTTTGTAACTATGAGATTGTTTTCTTAGCGTCTCTAATAATCATACGGTGGTTTTGGGACGTTAAACCCCACATGTCAAACGAGTGTTTTCTTCAATAGTGTTTCGCAATAGGGAAGTACAAGGCTTGGGTGAATTTTGTTTCAAGCGGTGCAAATCTAGGGGCGCTTCCCGCTGCGGTGACATGTGACTTGTACGATTTCAATTTTAATTGGTTAAGATTGCCACAGAAAAAGCCAGTTCAGACGCTTTGACGCTGTTCCGCCGTTGAGAATATGCAGCTGTCGCGTGCGTACCGTCGGGGTCAATATGCAATACTCTACGAGGCCCACGCCGCTTATTTCGATATTACGGACATTCGAATCACGTAGATCACACCAATGTTATCGGCTCTTCAAATGCCAACTGACGTCCACCAGTACAGATGAAACCTAAACATGAGATTTTTCAAAAGCTGGTGAGACATGTTTAACAAGTTTTTTATCTAAGGTAGTAATTATGGCTCGAATTCCTAACCATTGTACTGTTACAAATAAGGTACCTTAGAATAGAGAAAATGCTATTGCGCTGCAGAAATTAGCCAGTTATGTACAACAAAATTTACTTACAGGTGTATTCTGTCAGTCCCGATATACACTCATTTAATGCTGTCTCTGCAGTTTATAGCAAGTAGTTTTCAATCCAAGACTAATCTCCATGCAAAGTACTCACAGGCTGATTAAGAAATGGCTGGATGACACCTCCGACTCCAAATATGGTCTGAGCAACTCCGGTAGCAAGAGCCCGGACATTGGTGGGAAACACCTCGCTCAGGTAGATTATGTTGATGTTAATCACATTTCCAATGCACAGCCGACAGGCAAGCATTAGTATACTTTCCGTGATGTTGTACTCTGGTGAGAGACAGAACATATTTCAGGCAAGAGCATCAATCAAGAGACAGAAACCGCAAATGGCTTCACTGAAATTTTAACATTAATCACTCTAAATTTTACGCCTTGTCGCTTACATTGTGCTAACTTGAAATTTATTCGAACTTGTCAGCTAGAACTTATTTATATAGTGTTTGGTTGCGCTAGGTTATCAGTTATATACTGTACGATCCGCCAAAACTAACTATTGTGCGCAGCAGCCCCTTTCGTTGCCTCTCAGCGTTAAACTATAGAACGTAGTTACAAAAAATTACATCATGGACATGTGCTTTGTGAGCATGTACTTGTACTCACCGTTTTTGAAGCTTTATATAGTCGTATGGCAGATACAAAAAAAAAACTGCCACTCATGCATGACAGCTAAAGAATTGGCCGACTGTACATACCTTACAGACGAGTAGCGGGTGTTACTCGTGAACTTTTATTTAATCAACTTCAGCATCACAATACGGCTTACGTAGGCTTTCATTTATACTGACGCCGACCCACACAATATTGCACCAGCACTTATAAACCAAAAAATATTTATTGATCAAAGGGCGGGGGTGGGGAGTGCCATGCCTTTTCCTCTACCTCCGGAAACTATTTACGAGAATTCGCAAAAATATATCATGCGAGTCATCTCTTTGAATAAAAATGACCTTACTGGATTACAACCCCTATCTCATATTTGAAGGTGCAAGATCAAAAGGCGTGAAGTAAAACACCGATTACGCAAGATATTGGTAAGCAAGAGCATTGAAAGAAATTTAAGCAATAGGAGTTGAGGTAAAGATGGAGGCTTGCAATTATGAGAAATCGGTGAACATCGTTTGAACAATATGATAATTATTGCTAGGGTTTCCCTTCCCCAAACCATCAAACCATTGGTTCAATAAGGGGACACGGCGCATATACCTTGTTGAAGCATTGGCGCCAGCGTGGTTTCTATTCCGCGAACACACACACACACTATATATATATATATATATATATATATATATATATATATATATATATATATATATATATATATATATATATATATATATATTACATTTGGCCATCGCTTCAAAGGTGGCATCTTTCAGAGGTCTTGAACTCTGGCTCATCGCAGGTAGAAGTAATGCCTCTGGCGGGCTGCATTTGCGGCCTCGAAGAGGCTGGTCATGGCCGTGTAGTCTTTTGGCTCGCTGAACTGCCAACGCTGCCTCTGGCAGTCGACCTTGGCTAGTGCATGCCGGAAGGTGTCTTGACACGGAGGAAGGAAAGGTAAGGAGAGGGCATGCCCAGCCGGCGCGGGGCGTAAAAAATGTGGTGGAAATGACATCATGGCGGCCATATTCACCAGGCACAATGGCGGCATTTTACGGTTACGTGTTGCGCAGTGGAGCTGGTCTAGCAGTGAGCGGCCGCGGCTGCCGGCGGAATGTGTGCCTCCCCAGGTCTCGTGCTAAGCCGTGGCGGACAATATCTGTGCTCTGTGCCGCGTTATTGGTTACGCAGTGTTCTGCTGGCAGTTACATTACTCTTAGCAACGTTTACAAATCCCTTTGTCCATCACGGGGTTTCATCAGTGCGTAGAACAAGTGCATATCCATGTGTCGTGCGGCGGATGATGCAGATGAAGCAGTTAGTGTTCAGTGAAGTTGCGTTGGGCACCATGACGAAGCTGAATGAAGACGAACGCCTTGCAGGTCAGTGACGGTTGAGCAGTGCTCCTGCTTGTGACAACGGACGACGCTGTTGAGCCCAGCAAGACGCCGTGAGGACCATGTGCACATGTAGTTTCGTGATGTGTGTGTACAGTAACAACTTGCACGTGCGTATTAAAACACCTTTTCTGTTCCGCTTGGTACACTCTCCACCAGCATTGCATGTAATCTCAACGTAACAGCAACCGCGCTCAACTGTCACTAGCACCGTGCTCAGTCACCACGGTCGCAGAATGCTGACGCCCGTGAGTTTCACGCGGAACACGGACACAGTGGCAGGACGCTGCGTCGGCCGCGTGGCGAAATGCAACCGTAGAAGGCACACGACCAATCGTGTTGTCTGTACAGTTGCAGAATTAATGACGTGAAAGCACTCGCCGTTGTCAGTGCATCTAGCGCGCGTTCTCTCGTAGTTGCTTCGTTGTCGGCAAGCTGTTACTCCCTGTTATTACTCGGACGAAGCGATTTCGCCGAAGGTGTGTCGCTGGGTCAGAGTGATGAGCCCAGTTCCATTAGTTTTGGATCGTCACGACACGCGCGCAGCGCAGCCGACGTGCTTTCCGAGCCGGAGAGGGAGTCGCGCCTTCTGCTTCGTATCCATATGTAAACAAAACAGGAGAATTCGTTTAGTATATGGCCGACTTCCGGCTTCATCGCGGCTTCACAACGAGTGACGTCAAGGCCTCTCCTTACCTTTCCTTCCTCCGTGTGTCTTGATAAGAAACCTTCTAAGAGGTAGGGAGGGTGGCACTGGCTGCTTCGCTGCGGCTGTTGTCGGTGACAGGGGAACATTTAGTGGGCAGCTGCGAAACGTACATCTGACTGTGGGCTTAGGCTGTGTCTCGGAGTCAGTGACGGATGTCGCACGCCTGAAGAAGGTTGCCTCAACGGCATCCGTGAAGGCACACCACGTGTTTTGGCTGGCCTGTCTAGCTCTGGCTTCTTCAAGATAGTCGAAGCCCTGTCAACAGGCTCTGGCATTATGGAGAGAGCAACTTTCATACACTTGTGCAGGAGAGTCTTGTCACTCAACCGGATGTGATTGGGTGTGCGTTCGGTCAAGAAATGCCGTCGAATCAGAAGTAGTGGCTCCGGTGGGTTTGCGAGTATAGTAGTGCGGGCCATGTGTTCTTCCGGTACCTTCGCGCAGACACCAGCACCCCTTGTGCCCGGAGGGCCCTTCGCGAAGGTAGTCGTCTCTGGCAACGTGGCAGAACTCAAGCTCTTTGGTAAAAAAACCAGCTCGCGGCCGGGGCAGCTATCTGCGCGGCGGCCGGCGTTGCTCTCGTTGTGGTGGTGGCTACGGGTATGTATAGCGCCGAGGTTGTCTCGTGAAATTCATCCCGAGCTCAACGATGGTTGCCTTGGGCTTTGTGGGTGCTTTCACTGCTGGGGCGCCAAGCACGAGAGCAGCTGTGTATGGTCCAGCGATGGTGAATCTGGTGCCAGATTCTCCAACTGCGCTGGAAATCGACTGATCTTGGCCTCTCTCAGTGGTGTTACGACATCGAGTACTGGCGCAGAGGAGCCGAGCACGCGCCCATGTACGAGCCCCGCTATGTCTTGATATGTGGTGTTTAACGTCCCAAAACCACCATATGATTATGAGAGACGCCGTAGTGGAGGGCTCCGGAAATTTCGACCACCTGGGGTTCTTTAACGTGCACCCAAATCTGAGCACACGGGCCTACAACATTTCCGCCTCCATCCCCGCTATGTCATCATTGCATTATATATATATATATATATATATATATATATATATATATATATATATATATATATATATATATATATATATATATATATATATATATATATATATATATATATATATATATATACATATATATATATATATTGTGAGACCACGTCCGGTACGGCAGCAACCAGGTTATCTTTTTTTAATCCAGACGCATGAGCCAGAGAGCGAGCCCGCGTGACATACGATGATGATCACTATAATGGTTTTGTCATACAGATGAAGATGAAGTACATAGTCAGCGCTCACACTATTCCCCCTCCCTTCGCGAAAGAGGGCAGCAAGTTAGAAAGGGTGTGGACGCCGAATATATCGTTTCAGTCGAGAGACGTGGGCGATCTCGGTGAGGCGGCGACGGTGATCAGGAGCCGCGTTGACAGGAGCAACGCGATAGTTGACTTCAGATGTTTGTTCCAGGACGGTGTATGGACCGAGATATCGGTGAAGGAATTTTTCGCAGAGCCCAGGTACACGAACAAGTGTCCACAAAAGGACTTCGTCGCCTGGGCGGAACACACCAACTCGACGCTTCGCATCAATGTTGATTTTTCTCTTGTCCTGAATGGTAGCAGTGTTGGCGTGGGCGATTTCACGGCAGCGGGCAACGTGAGTGGCGAACTCTTCCGGGAGAGATGAAGATGGATTGGAAGATGTGGACAAAAAGGTGGTGTTCAGAACAAAAGTCGGCACACAGCCATACACGAGAAAAAAAAGGGCTGAAATTTGTCGTACGCTGTATGGCAGTGTTATATGTGAACGTGACGAAAGGAAGTATTGTGTACCAGTTTTTTGTGATCCGGTTGCACGTACATAGAGATCGTGTCGGACAAAGTTCGGTGAAAACGCTCAGTCAGACCATTAGTTTCTGGGTGATACGCTGACGTGGTCTTGTGGATGGTGTTAGACGCCTGTAAGACTTCAGCAAGGACATGTAAAAGAAATGTCTTGCCATGGTCACTAAGGAGCACACGCGGTGCGCCATGCCGTAAAATAAAGGCGCGAAGGAAAAAGTCGGCTACTTCAGAGGTAGCACCAGATGAAAGAGCTGCCGTCTCCGCGTAGCGAGTAAGGTGGTCTACGGCAGTAACAATCCAACGATGACCGGCTGGCGTAAGCGAGAGAGGTCCGTATAAGTCTATGCCCACAAATTCAAAGAGAGTGGACGGGCACGGCAGTGGTTGCTATGGCCCCGCGGGAAGAGACGTGGTACGTTTTCGGTGCTGGCATGACGCGCAGGAAGCGACGTACTTGGCGACAGAAGTGGAGAGGCCAGGCCAAAAGCAGCGAGTTTTGAGGCGGTCGTAGGTCTTGTGGAACCCTAAGTGGCCAGCTGTCGCATCGTCATGAAACGCTTGTAGAACTTCCAGATGAAGTGAGCGAGGAATGACGGGAACGCATTGGTTACCGAGAGGATGGTAAATTTGCCGACAGAATGTTCCCTCTTGAAGCTTGAAACGGG